CATGAACATAAAGTGCCCTGGTCATGATAAAAAAAATACAATATCACATGTAGTGGTTGTTACAGCATTTAAAAAGCTAGAATCGCTAGTCTATACCTGATTCCCTTTAGAGAAAGTTACAATACGACTGAAAGTGACAAAATAGTATCTAATATATTCCGTTATTTTTCATCAAGTCGACTTTGTGTTCAGGTGCGTGCAGTCGGCGCGCGCGCGCGCGTGCACACACACACACAAATAAATAAATGAAGATACACATACATACACGAGAACCAAAGACTAAGAAACAGTGAAACAATATTCCCTGTAGCTGTCAGTAAAATACTACGGCTATAAGTTAACTAAGCTAAGGCATGTCTGTAAAACATTTAAGAATTTTCTTCAGATATTCTCGTTTGTGCTTCAGGAAACACGTCACGTTTAACAGTATGTCATGCCTTCTAGACCTATTCGAGACCGTGACGTAGCCGATGTTAACTGCCCGGAAGGTCTGTCCGTAGATGAACCGTCTGCCTGTCTTCACGGGGGAGAAGAACTCCGGCTCCACGAACACCGGCGCGTACAGCAGAGGCGCAGGTTCTTGGTCGCTCCCTTTGAAGACCTGGTTGACGTAGACAAGAGTGGCACTGCAGGGATCGGGGACCCAGACCAAGGACCTGATGTGACTGGACTTCTTGTTGGGAGTGAGGGTGACTGCCAGGGCTTGGACTTTTCCGTCGCGGCGCTCCACGTTCCTCACGGTGATCCTGTATGGCAGCCCAAAGAGGCTCGCGGGCCTGTTGCGAGACAGAAAGCGCGACGGACTGCCCTCCGGTGTGTCTTCGTCGACGAAGTCCAGGCCACTGATGAAGAAGTAGGGCTTGATCAGTGGCTCCTGCGGGTTCCCATTGTGTTTCTTAAGGTCCGAGTAGTTGATCACTTGGCAGCAGAGTGGATCCAGGACCATCTTGTAGGCCTTGGCACCGGGCAGCAGCTCCCTCCTGGTGATATCGAGCAGGTGACTAAACTCGCGGAATCCTTGAGCCACGAACTTCTGGATCGCCGAAGGAGGAATGCCGCGACTCCGGAGGCCAGCGAGAGTCGCCAGCCGCGGGTCCGCCATGTCACGCAGAAGACCCTTGCTGTGTAAGCTGATCAATTTCCGCTTTGATAATAGTACATTTTCTATCGCCAGCCTCGGCTGCTCCTGCTGGGGAACTAACGGGAGGTCCAGCCTGTCCTGGATCCAGTTATATAAATCCCTGTGGTGTGCGAATTCCGAGGTGCAAATAGACACAGCGATAGTTTCCAGAGAGTCCACAATGGGATGACTGAAATCGTAGGTTGGATACACCACCCATTTATCCTTTGTCTTGAAGTGAGTGCCCTGCTTGATCCTGTAGGCCACAGGGTCCTTAAAATGCTTGTCTTCATACCTCAGTCTAAGGACGGCTTGGCCTTTAGGATATGCACGGTCTATCATCCTCTCGAATTCACGAATGTTTTCCTCTATCGGCCGGTCTCTCCAAGGGGACGCGGCCGCAGAACCGACGGAGTCCTCGTGACACACGTACGCGAGGCCGCTCTTGATCATCGTGCGAGCATATTCGAGCAACTCCTCGAAGTAGTCGGACGTGAAGGTCGTCAAGAAGTCTCCGATGTCGTAGCCAAGCCACTGCAGCATCTCCTCGGCGTCGCAGCAGTAGAGCGCGGAGGCCGTCTCGGGGTTGGTGTCGTCGAAGCGCAGGATCATGAGGCCGTCGTTGTCAACGGCGCAGTTGAAGTTGGTGCGGAAGGTCGTCACGTGGCCGATGTGCAGCGGGCCGTTGGGCTCGGGGGCGAAGCGGAAGTTCAGGCCGTTCCTCTGGTCGTCGGTCAGGACGAAGTCGCCGTTGACGAAGCGCCCCGGGTTCATGGTGCGCCTGGAGGAGAGACAGCGCGGTTAGGCAGGCATTCGCTTCCGTCTGGAAACGTCTGTCTGCTTAGATAAGAGTTCTGTTACTATCTATCTTTCTTTCTTTTTTCTTTCTCTCTCTACAAGCACACACATTCTCTATCTCTATCTCCACACAACACACACACATACGCACACACACATGTATATAGTTTGTGTGAGTGTGTGTGTGTGTGTGTGTGTGTGTGTGTGTGTGTGTGTGTGTGTGTGTGTGTGTGTGTGTGTGTGTGTGTGTGTGTGTGTGTGTGTGTGTGTGTGTGTGTGCGCGTGCGTGTGTGTGCGTGTGCGTGTGTAAGCGTGTGCGTGTGTGTGCGTGTGTGAGCGTGTGCGTGTGAGCGTGTGCGTGTGTGAGCGTGCGTGTGCGTGTGCGTGTGTACAATCTCAAGAAAACCATTTACAAAATAAGAAAATGATTCGATTTTTCTCTATCGCCTCTTCACCCAAAGGCTCGGCTCCCGATACAAACCAGACGAAAATCCGAGGGACACCAACAGCCTTGAATCACAACAGAACGCTAAAAGGGAAAAAAAATGAGTTTCTGCCTTCCGGATTGATCTTTCTGGAACAGGAGTAAACATCCATTCCCATCCCGGAGCGTCGCCGTGTCCCTGGGGAGCGAGAGAGGTCGCCTCATTTTTCTCCGGTCGCTGTCACAGAATACTCGTTTCCATTATCGTGTAAGGAACGCATTACGTTTGTGCGAGTTTGCGTGGAGTCAGAGCGTTGCTTCTGACTCTCGACTAACGCCTCTCGGTGAGTCGTTGCCTGGTTCTATTGGCTTTAAAGGCTTCTACTAGTCTCCCAAGAAGGAAATGAAAGTTAAGAGAGACTCTTAACGTTAGACTAGAGCCTCGTTATCAAAGCAAACACGCGCTGGACACTGCGAAGGTAACTGCTCTTTTTCCTTTCTCGGTTTAACACTCGTAGCAGGCAGCCTTTCCCGCAGGTTTTACACACACACACTCAGCGTAACCAAATATCACATTTAAACGCACAAACATACACGCGTACACATATTGTAAATGTACATGCACAGACAGACACTTGCACACACACGCGCAAGCACGCACACACACACACACACACACACACACACACACACACACACACACACACACACACACACACACACACACACACACACACACACACACCAAACAAACACACACACACACAAACAAACAAACACAAATAACACACATAACACACATTTTTCCATAAAGCTGAGCAAACTGACAGTGACAGAGGCACAAAATTCCCTCTCCACACCATACAGATGCACCTTTCTTGTCCGTCCGTCTCGGGGCCTCCCTGCCGTCATCCGCCAGACACAGCCGTGTGATCAGACCTCGGCGTCCCCGTTGTCTTGCTAATGGCCGCCGTAAAAGCTATTACTCGAATGTTCTGGCCAAATGCTCGGCGCATCTTTGGCATTATTATCTGTGATCACCCAGCACCCTCACCCACACTCTGTTGTACTTCGATCAGACATACAATCGACCCACATCCGAGCGTGTCTGACTTGAAGCATTCACCTCCACTGTTATATAAAGAATTCCTCATATAGTATATATATATATATATATATATATATATATATATATATATATATACGTACTCAACATACATATATATGCATATATACATACATACACACACACACACACACACACACACACACACACACACACACACACACACACACACACACACACACACACACACACAGAGACAGATATATAGATAGACAAACGGATAGATAGATAGGTAAACAAAAAGAAAGCTACACACAGATTTAACATCTAACCTAACACGAGTTGTAAAACCGGTTCCGCTGAAATTAATTAATGTTCTATTTCTACCTTTACTTTTCACTAAATACTGGTAAATTCAGGGCTGATTTGAATATAACATTACCATCCTCTAATTTCTTCTAATTATTACCTATCAGTGAAAATGAAGTTGACTGTAAACACGAGAACTTAAAAACATGAATACGAATTTAAAAAATATTCGATTGCGTAATTTCTCGTTTTTTTTTTTTTTTTTTTTTGACGGTTAAAAACAGACTTTTTGAATCTCTACTTGACTTCGTTCTGTCTATTCTTGAAATTCTCTTGTATTTGCTATTTCTTCTGGGAGAAACGGGATTTAAAGCCTTGATTCTCAGCCTTAGGAATAAATTAATTCGATGCACATGGAAACCTCCAATTGCGATTCCCAACTGTTTATTTTTGAGTTATAGGACTCCTTTTGGACTTAAATATTGGTTTAAACATCAAGGCATTCATCAGAAAATAACCATGCATGTATACTGAGACAACGAATATTGTGACTGTTGAAATAAACCGAAAAACTCACTTTTTTAGCCAAGAGTTCGAGGAAAATTCACCTTTCTTTCGGCCTGTTCTGGAGCGTTCGAAAGTGATGAAAAGAAAATATATTATTATTAACGTGTGTAAACATTAAGTCAAAAGTTTTCTCTTATACACATTAACGTATGTTTACGTAAATAATTCTAATGGGATATGAGCGTGCAAATGTTTATAATGTAAATATTGCATATTTTCGGGTAATCTCCATAGCGTTCAAAAGTGGATTAAAAAGAAAAACATCCTAAATTTATATCCTTTAAGATATTTCTATTCCTTAAAAAATATATATCAAGTACTCTATAGTTTAAAGATAATCTGTTTGGTATATTTTTCGTTTGATCATTTATTTAGTTGTATGTGTCAGGAAATATGTATATATTTTATGCGTGAATAGGCCTACCCACTCATCAATATATTTTCTTAATACAATTCTAGCAGAATTTGTATGTGTATTGCGTCTGTGTGTGTGTGTGTGTGTGTGTGTGTGTGTGTGTGTGTGTGTGTGTGTGTGTGTGTGTGTGTGTGTGTGTGTGTGTGTGTGGTGTGTGTGTGTGCGTGTGCGTGTGCGTGTGTGTGTGTTTGTTTTCTGTGCGTTGTGTGTCCGTATGTATGTCTGAGTCTCTGTGTGTGTTTGGAGGGTAAATATTTATTGCCATATTTACCTTATCATGTTATACATTCGGTTGTCAAAATAGGGTCTATAAAAATAGCTTCGAGATGTGGCAACTGGGCATATCAGACAAAATTGCAAGGAACTGCCATTGACCTTTCTTGAATACCGGAATCACCGACTGATAGATAAATATATATATGTATATATATATATATATATATATATATATATATACATATATATACATTTACACACACACACACACCACACACAACACACACACACACACACACACACACACACACACACACATATATATATATATATATATATAATATATATATATATATATATATATATATACATACATATACTGTATATATATATATCTATATTTTATTCTTACATACATGCGTACACACACAGAAACACACTCACACACTCAGATACACACACACACACAAAACATCATATGTATATATATTGTGTGCGTGTAGCCACTAGAAACACCACATTTAACACGATTATTATACCAATAATAACAAATAGCTGATTCTTTAACATAGGCTTTTATACGTCCGAAACACTTTAATTAATGTATTTTTCATCCCTAACCTAACTCCGCTCCGGCGAATCCAGCCAAACCGAATGTGATTTCGGAGCCACACCTTTCCAAGTCATCTCAGTGAGTTAATCTTCGATCGATCAGCTCCCTGTAACTCTCTGTTCAAATCCCAAATATTCTCGGTTTGCTGAGATGTTCATATACTCTTGGAAGCTGAGTATATCGGCCGTCGGAAGGATATCGTGTGTCTTGTCTGGGAAGGCTAGATCAGAGGTGTCATGGCGTCTGATTCTATTTTTTGGAAAAAGCACGTGGGGTTTATTTTGATGACGTCACAAAAGTTACGGATGGTTTGTGAATATGGTCGATCATTTTGGTCTTTGCAATTTTCAAAATAGGATGGAAAGGAATGATTTTCATGGTTATATTTCCATTGAACAATCATCAAAATAGCCCTGTGGGACCCATGACACCTCGAGTTGCTACTGTTTAGCCTTCCCCGTGGCTTGTCTTTTGTTTGATAGCATAAGGATGCTGTCACACTAGCACTTTTTCCGTCATTTTTTTTACAATTTTCTGAAATTTTGTAAATTTTTGAGCGAATTGTCGATTTTCCAGTCAGACGATAATGGTCGTTTCCGTCTGAAAACCTTTCCGTCAACTGTTTCAGCCAAGCATAGTCAAATCAAGAGCTATATTCGAGAATGTTTGTATTTATGTTAAATAAAATTGTCCAAAAATTGACGTAAAAATGCTAGTGTGACACGGCCTTAAGTATAGATGGAAGTTGTTCGCAGTTCCCGTCTCGTCTACGTGAAAATATACTATACAGTATAGGTAGCATCTTTCAGTAAACCTCTTGTGTATAAATGGTCTTTGCACAATATGGTAGAGGGTTTTATTATTCATATCTATAATTTCCTAAAGTATGTATTCATCTTTCATTTGCACAACTTTGGCGAAAAGTGAGTCCTTACATTTGTTATAGGAAGTAACGTTTGTATTAGTCACTGCTCACCCCTAGCATATGTTTGATTAAATCTTGCGCTCCCTACAGAAATAAATTAAGTTTGAATATTTCTGATTCCTTCCCTGCCTCATTATTCCTGACCCGCGTGTAATATTGGAGGAGAACGAATTAAACTCCACAAAAAACATAGGCAAGTTCATCAAATGCAGATGCAAAATGGTTAACTTGGAAATAATAAACTTTCAAATCAGGAAAAAGTGTTAACGTGACCCTCTAACTTTCTATATTTGCTTCTCATTTGGGACCTTATCAATACGGGGAACTTTCTCAACTGCTTGCGCTTGAGAAATCAACAAAATCTATATTTGTCAAATGCCATGTCGCATTCCTAGGGTTGTAGGCTTCCTATGTTGGGAATCCCTAGTTTAAATTAGGCAGTGGATAATACAGATGGACCTCTTGTGTTGGCAAATGGGATTGATTTTGAAGTCGCTCTCGTGGCTGTTGCGATAATCGTTAATCAGCACAGAGATTTGTTATGTAGGACTATATATGTAGACAGGAAATGCATTACATCAACGTGTGTAGTCCTATGATTAATGAACTGTCACTTCAAGCTGGCCAAACCCTTGATCTGTAAGCTTTTAACCTTGCATAACGTTAACAGTTCACTGCAAAAGTAAGAACAACCCACAAATGCACTTACAAAGAACCTATTTTTAAGGAACCCATTAAAAGAAGCACACGACATGCTGACAACTGTAAACTTTTTAAGAAAAACTGTTCTTGCCTTATGAGTTCCAAACTTTCGGGAGAAAAGTTTTGAGTATTTCAAGACACAATAACTGCTCTTTCTGTGACTTAAATTAAATCTGGCGTTTCCAAAAAGGAAATGCAAAACAGATGCAAAGTTGCGAACCATAATGCGATTTAAAATAGAAAACAAGAATATGAAATAGTGCTAACGTCCTTCCAAGACAGAAAATGTAATTGGAATAGCTGTACTGTACTTCAGGAGAGTGAGCTTGGATTAGCCAGAGTTCACAGAGCAAAACAAAACAAAACGCCACAGAGCAAGGTAGAGTCATCTGCAGGTCAGTAGAGTAAAGCTCTGTCACCCGCGACTCAGTAAACCAAGCTTGAGTGAATATATTTCAACAGACACACTACTTCCATATCTCAGAGGACCCAAAATGACCGCAACTTCTTTTTTTTTAACGCGAACACCAAAGTCCGGACCTGGAACTCCCGCCGCAAGCCAATACCACGAGATCAGCGCTGGGCGAGTGGATGGCACCGGAATCCCCTTTATGAGGCAGCGCAGCGGCGGAGGGCGGGGCTCTCGATCTCTTACTCGGGCTCTGCTTTGGAGGAACCGATATTTACTGCACGGGACAGTCTTGTTGGCTGCCGGGAAGTAATGACGCTCTCTCCATTACTGATTTGTGTTGATGTGGATTTCTCGGTGTAGCTTTGGAGCACACGCACACGCACACACACACACACACGCACACGCACACACACACACACACACACACACACACACACACACACACACACACACACACACACACACACACACACACACACACACACACACACACACACACACACACACACATACACACACAAACACGCGCGCACATATGTATGTAAATAATGTGTGCGTGTAGCCACTAGAAACGCCACACTTAACACGATTATTATACCTATAATAACAAATAACTGTGGCTCTAATGAGATGTATGTTTTTTGTTTTTGTGCGTGTGCGTGTGTGTGCCTTTGTCTCTGTGTATAATTAATCAATTGCAGAATCTGCCCTAAATATAGACCCAGTTCTGCTAACTGAACTAAAAGTGCAAGAGGTCGAGATGAGGCTTTGCATATTCATACCCACGTGTTCTCATCAGCCTCTTGTGAAAAGATTCGTCTCATCTCCCGAGGTTAGCGGAATTATGATTTCATTTCCACGAAAACATTTCCGTGCCATGCAAAACATCTTACAATGAGTGTGATCAGTTTCATGTCTGTGCCACGTTTCTGGACTTGGGCTCAAAGGATCAATTGAAGCGGTGTCGACTGATCAGTTTGATAGGCCAGAGTTCGGTAAAATATTATTCAGGAATCACATATTAAAAGTATTTTCGGTAAAAAATATTATTCAGGAATCACAAAGAGAAAACCTATTTTGCGCACCTTGCTTCTGCCATCGAAAGGATATGAATCCCAGATATAAATCATGTATACAAACTGGAATGAACGAACAACTTCCCCTTTTATCTACGTTATCAACTCTGAGAATCGTTCCTAGTTTCGAGATGGGAATGGCTAGATCAGTAGTATCTCAAGGAGGTGTCATGGAGTCTGTTCTGATAATTGTTCAGTGAAAATATAACACTAAAATATTATTTTCCATCCTTTTCGAACACTGAAAAGACCAAAATGATCGACATCCACATTCACAAAGCATCCGTAACTTTTGTGACGTCATCAAAATAAACCCCACAGGTGCTTTTTTTCCAAAAATAGAATCAGACGGCATGACACCTCCTCGAGTTGCTGCTGATCTAGCCTCTCCCCGTTTCGAGACACCTGAGACCCGACCCAATAAATATTCATATACACGGACATACCTATACACAGAAGTTAATGCATATCAATCAGTCTAGACATGCATATCTACCGGGCAGGTAAATAGTTAAATGTATATATATCAGACCGATAGACAGACATGCATATATTTCAGCGTATATATGCATGTCTGTATATATGACTATCCACTGGGTCGGGCCTCTCACGCCTAACAAACTGGCCGCTCTTTTCTTAGAGCACGAGAAAATGAGTCAACGAGCACGATTGATCGAGAAGATTTCACTCCTTAGAAAGGT